TCGTTTTGTACTCTCCTCCTCTAATGCTGGAATTAGCTATTTCTCCAGAGAGCATTGGCTCTTTTTAGTTGGAAATGCTATTTAGAACCTCAGATCTAAGAGCTTGGTATGCTTACTGCTACTGAGATATTCTTTTCTCGGTGTCTTTTTCTAGGACTTTCCAGTGGACAGAACTAGATACATTTATTTACTATTTATCTTTCTTTATCTCATATCTAAGAGTGTGTGTGTGTGTTCACACATATAATATTGAAAACTACTAGTTTATAAATATTGAGATCTTGAATTCTAGTCCAATACTGCAGGGTTCTTTCTAGCCTCCTGCCTCTCCATATTCCTATCTCATTTTTCCAAGAGTGAAAACTCTGGCTCCTAACATTAGTATGTTATTAATGAATTTGCTCCATTCTATAATAAACAGAAAATGTTATATCTTTCTTTAAAAAAATTAAATCTACTATGTGAAATTCAAGATTTGTTTGATATTCCTTTTGTCTTTAGGCAGAGGGAATGTGGTCAAAATGCTGTGTGCAAAAGTGCTTTGAAGTAGTTTCTTTTTTTCCTTCACTGTGGCTAGATTTTTAATTTAAAATGCAGTTTAATCCTGTTTACATTAAATTTGGGGGTTTTTCCTATCCTTAATAGTTTTAATTATATTTTTCTGAGCATGCCTATTCACATTGTTATAAAAGACAAATCTATACAAAAAGGCAGACACATTCAGAGAAGCAACTATCTCCCCTGTGCCTTCCACTTCATTCCCATAGTTTACCTAATTCAAGTTTTTTCTAATTTTTTTTAAATCACTATACACATTATATGTAATTTTCCCTCTTTTCTCACATGAAAGATAGCTACTACATAAGTATTCTTCTGTATTTTTTTTGTTTTTACTCAATGTATTCACCATATCAGCTTACAGAGATTTTCCTCATTCTTCTTTACAGTTGCAGAGTAGTCTTATATGAATAAATCATAGGTTATTCCATCAACCCCATATGTTTGGGAAATTACAGGTAGTTTATAATTTTTATAGTTACAAATATATATTTTGTATCATAGGGAGTATATCTTCAGACAAAATTTACAGAAGTGATTTTTTTCAATTGTATATGCATAAAAATATGTATGTATGTATAATGCATATGTATCTTCACTGAATACCACCCAATTCCCAAGCATAAGTGTTGGATCATTTTATGTTTCTAGTAGCAATGTGTGAAACAGCCTCTTTCCCTACTGCCTCACCAAGTTTAAAACTTCAAATTTTTTCAACTTGATAGGTAAGAAATTACATTTCAATTATATTTTTTATTTCTCTTCTCGTGGGTGAAGGTGAACATCTCTTAAAATGTCTAAGGGCCATATATTTCCACTTACATGCATTGTCTGTTCCTGTCTTTTGCCCATTTTTCTATTAGATTCTTTTGCTCAATTTTTATAAATTTTTTATGTAGGGATGTAGGGATATTGACCCTTTATCTGTGACATATGTTGCAAACGTTTTCTTTCAGTTGTCATTTGTGAGTTTTTTGTATTACTTTGTGAAACTTTTGCTATGCAATTTTTAGATGTAGTTGAATTTATTTTCTATTGCACTTGGAGGTTTAATAAAGTTAGAAATTGTTTCACTACACACCAGTTATAGAACAATGCACTTATGTTTTATTCTAGTACTTTTTTTACATTTACATCTCTAATGGATTTGGAATTTATTCTTATATGTGGTATAAGATATTATCATAATTGTATAGATTTCCAGAAGCCTATCCAGTTCTCTCAACACTATTTATGAAAAAGTTTGTGTTTACCCCAGTAATTTCAAATAGCATCTTTATCATATACAAAATATCTACATTTATTTGTATTCATTATGAATTATCTATTTGATTCCATTGGCTTGTATGTCTTTTTATGTGCTATGAACACACAGTTTTAATCACATGCTTTATAGTATGTTTTAAATCTTGTAGTGTTGGTCTCCTTTATAGTGCTTCTCTTTCCATAGTTTGCAATATACTCTTAGATGTTTTTATGTTTTCATATGAACTTTAGTATCAACTTCTCTAGCTCTAGGTGAAAGCTTGTTAAAATTGTATCGGAATTGCATTACATTTATAAGTAAAGCATGCAAAATCATCTCCTTAAAATTGTTAAGCTACTATGTCCAAGAACAGGTGATTTTTCCATTTGTTCATGACTTGTTTTGAGTCTTTCGAAAGTTTTAGATATTTTTCTTCTTGTAGGTTTTATATATTTCTTGGTAGCCAATTTCTAAGTGCTTTAAATTATGTGTTGTTACTAACTCTATTATTTGTGTCTCTGAATAATATTGATTTTTGCATGTTAATTTTAAATCCTGGCACCTTACTGAATTTTGTTAATAGTTAAGGCAGCATGCACACTAGTGAATTGAATGCAGTGTTACCTGGATTGGGAGACACTCACAAACACACCAACAGAGTAACTTCTATTTGTGCCAGGAGGGCATGAATATGAGGAGTTTGGAAATGTAAAATATCATGGATGGTTTGGGTACATCCTAAAAAAGAGAGAATGGAATAGACATGAGTGCAAAGAACTGTTGTAGAAAGTCAAGAAAAACACTGTCTAGAAAATTAAGTACGAATTTTACAAGCCAGCAGCCAAGGATTTACTACTTGAGTTTTGAAAAAGCTTCCCACACAGTGTCGGAGAAAGAGTGGTAGGATTAACTTTTGAGGTAGGCATTCATCAAGCTCAGTCCCAAAGGCAAGGGTCCAAAGGAAAGACAGGTCAATTTCTGGCAGTCAGTAGGAATGATGGAAACATTTCAGGAGGGCAGTCACTGGAGTCTAAGGCGCTAAACTGAGGCCTAGCAGAAGCAAATAATTGATACCAAGAAATAAATCTGGAGGACAAATAAATCTGGTGACTTATTTTCAGCAGGCGGTGTCTTAGCCTAAAGGGACTACTTTTAAATTATTGGGCATATTGCCCCCTGGATCTGACTTGAAATCATAAGATGTGTACTGATCTTTGATAGCAGTAAGTCAAGAAAAGCTAAATGCTGAGCCAAGGTCTTAGCCAATGTGTAAAATAGCTAAAGATCAAGCCAAAGACTATGGAAATTGAGAAAAATATACCTTAAGTCACATAATGTCCTGGGGGAGAGGGGAAGGAGAGTCAGAGTATTTTGTTAGAATCCACACAAGATGGTGGCAAACTGAGTAGAAAAGTCAAGGTGAATTTTCAGAACCCAAGGTCAAGTTAAAATTCTATCACAAGGGGCCGGGCACGGTGGCGCACACCTGTAATCCCAGCACTTTGGGAGGCAGATCACAAGGTCAGGAGACGGAGAGCATCCTGGCTAACAAGTTAAACCCCGTCTCTACTAAAATACAAAAAATTAGCTGGGAGTGATGGCGGGTGCCTGTAGTCCCACCTAGGGAGGCTGAGGCAGGAGAATGGCATGAACCCAGAGGTGGAGGTTGCAGTGAGCCGAGATGGCCCCACTGCACTCCAGCCTGGGCAACAGAGTGAGACTCCATCTCAAAAAAAAAAAAAAAAAAAAAAAATCTCATCCCAAAAGTCCACTAACTTTGACCAGAAACCAAGGTCATAGGGAGTTGACAAGCCTGAATGTATCACCAAGGTCTAATTGAAGTGGTATTTGGATACAAGCAGATATAAGGAATACAGTTTGAAATAGAACAATGACTTTTAAGCATTCACTTTTTAAAGCAATGAAACTTTTTGATTTAAATGAAATCTAACATAAAATCTTAGTACAGGAAAGAGATGAAGTTTCTGACTAATGTCAGGGCCGTGTTCTGGGAGAGACGCAAGCTCTCTCCTCTCAGCTTCCACTGTACCTTTTGTAGCAAAACTTTAATTATTCCCACAGAAACCCAGTGCTTCAAATAACACAGTTTTGAAATTATCTGGAGCAGGAGACTGAAGGTATCACATCAGAATCTGCAACTTACAAACAGATTAAGTTAACAATCATAGTGTATCAGAAAAAGCAAGGGTTTTGGAGTCTGACAGACCTTGTTTTCAAATCCAATTCTCAAGCTGTGTGACCTTGGTGGATTTGCTTTACCTATTGGAACCTCAGTTTCCTTATATGGAAAATTGCTGAATAATCCCCATATTGATGAATTATTCTGAAAATCCAAAGATAAAAAAATGAATAAAGTACATAATAGGGGATTAACTTATGTTAGTGTATTTCATGCATTTTAGACATGACTTTTGCTGTCAGATAGGAGCTGCCCTTCGTGTCCCTGGTTTCAAGTAAAATTCATGGTTTAGACTGATGGGAAACTGTGTGTGGAGGCTGGTTTCTGATGTGCAGGTTTCTGCACTTTGACTTGTGATGAAGGGTGCAGAGAGGTACTCTGAAGTGCTCTCCTGGACATAATGAACGCTTCATCAAATCTCTCCCAACTGCCTTTTCCAGTTGTATTTCCTTCTCCTTTCTTGTACTAGGGATTGATATTCAGCCTGTGCAAGCAACCAGAGAGCCCCAGATGTTTCAGGTCAGCACTCATACTGATTGAGATATGCCTGTGTGATATTGATTTTAAATATTTTGAATATCATTCCTACAAAGAGTGAGTTAATCACTCTTTGTAGTTAATCACTACTTTGAGTTAATCACTCTTTGTACAAAGAGTTAATTTTTATTACAAAGAGTTAATCACTATCATACGCTTAGTACATACATTATGTCAGGCATTGTGCTAATATTATACGCACATGAACTAGATTCAATATTAAATATTATATGCAGAAGAACAAAATTCATGTGCATATAATATCAGCACAATACATGACAAGTATATGTACTAAGCATATGATAGTCATCCTCTGAGAGAAGTATTGACATTATCCACATAATCATCATTTTATAGAGGAGGAAACTCTAGTTAGTTCTTTCCCTGAAATCTCACAGCTAAGAAGTGCCAGTGTCAGTATTTAAACTTAAATTTCTTATATACCAAATTCTGTGCTCTTTTTATTATACCACATTCTCTCTCTTAGCACAGATATTCCATAATTGAAAAGCTGAAATCCATTATGGTAAAATCAGGTGGCCTATTATATAGTATGCAGGAATAGGTGACTTCTAAATCCACTGATGCTGAGTTTCCAGGATTTTTAGGCTAGTATAGAAGTAACTTGGAAAAAAGATAAGTAAAAACTGTTGTAGAAGTACGGTGAGATTTATTTTTTGCATGAATGCAAATAGAATTAAAATACAAACAATCAAACCCTTAACTAGAGCAGTAAAAAAGAGAGTCTTAGTAATTTATCGATTTAACTAGCTTTTACAACATTAAGTTGGATGAAGACACAGACCTTATCTTAAATGGCAAGGGAGGCTAAGAGAGATCAATTAATAGTTTTAAATATTGGCTTAGTGATAGGAAAATAATTATTTTTTGTGTCTGTGGGTTCATAGAGCATTGGTTTTATGGTTAGTTGTTTATTTGCCTTTGGGCTAAAAAGACTTTATATTTTTAATTGTGTGTCCAAATACATTTTATGGTGAAATTATCTCCCATCAATATGTCTCCAAGTTATGTTTTTGCTACTGATGGCTAAGGATAAGAATGAGCATAATTTAGAGCAAAGAGAAGCATTAACTATTCAGATTGCCAGCACAGCTGAAGGAGGAGATGATCTTTATTTTTTTTTTAATTTTAATTGAAAGAAATGTAGCTGTCCTCTAACTAGAGATTTTAGAAGAGACTTATTCCCTGACTACCTCCTCTAATTCCTTCACACTTAAATGGGCATCTTAAAGAACTAAATGTATTTGGCTTGGAGACATGAAGTAATCTGTTTTCATTTAATTGAGTCCTTGATTTATTTTGGTACAGAGAAGCCTAGCATCATTTTATAGGGGATCAGTGTATTTGGTCAAATGCACTGAGCTTGGGTTGGTAAACTGAATTAAGGTTCTTTATAATGGACAAAAGTCTTGTTAAGTTCACACAACTTCAAAAATTATTAGTTTCATTTCCTGAATCTAAATCTGCCCACTCTCAGACTTGCAAAAATTAATGACAGTTTTCCTTTTAGCTGAAATCTTCCAAAGCCGCAAAGATGGTAGCAGATGTAATCCTCTTAGCTCTCACATGATCTTAATTTCTCAAATTCCTCATGCTTATCCAGTTTATTTTGTGCTCCATCTCCAGATTATTTTTTGTGTTCTTGCAGCATTCAGAAAAAAAAAAAAAAAAAGAAGAAAAGAAAAGAAAAAGAAAATCCTCTTCAGAAAAATATGAGTTTCTCTATTATGGCAGGCAAAAACACTTATTATTGCACACAGTAACAAGACATCCTAGGAAACTAGAGTTCAAAGAACTCTCTCACCCCACCTATTGAGCTATTCAAAGGAATCCTGCTATGTTATTTGCAATGGAAAGAACATCCTCATGACTTAAAATGTTTCAACATAGACTCAGGCAAAATCTGCAGGCAACAATGTCCTTGTTTATCCAAGATGACAAAGATAGTTTTTGTATTTATTTCTGACTGTCTCTGGTTCTTAAAGCCTTTGTTCAGCTCTTTTAGTTCAGGCAAATAACTAATACAGGAAAATGCTAATACAGTTAACTTTTCAAACTAGAGTTATTCTAGGAGCAACCTTAATTTTTTATGCTGATTGATTTTTTTCATGTGTCTAGTTTAAAAAGTCTGGAACGCCCTTGATGAATCTGTACTCTTAAACAAATTAAAATCGGCATTCTTATAATAAGAGGTCTCTGTTAGTAAAATTTTGCTTGTCACTCATACAGAAATAATTGATGTTTATAATGATGACTTAGAGGCTTTCAGGTATTCCCAAGTGCCATTTGAATTATCAAAAAAATTAGGCTGTGCTCAGTTTAACTGTCAGTTATTAAACTTTTAGTGTGTTGTCTCTTTGTATTGCATGATTATATTTTATTAAATTTTCTATTTAATTTATTAGAAAATCCCCTTCCACATCATCCTATACAACAGCAAGTGTGCTGAATTGAATTTAGGCTATGTATGACGTAGTCAGTATTATAAAGGAGAACTTCCTAAAAACTTAGTACAAGCCAGGTCGTTTTTGAATAAACATTGTAATCTGGAAATATTTTAGATTTACAAAAAAGTTGTAAGGATAACAGAGAGGTCTCATGTATGCCACACCCAGTTTCCCCTATTATTAACATGTTAGTGTATTTGTCACAATTAACAAATAAATATTAATACATTATTATTAACTAAAATCCATAGTTTACATTAAGATTCACTCTGTCATATAGTTCTATGGGTTTTGGTAAATATATAATGTCATGCATCTATCATTACTTTATCATATAGAATAGTTTTACTGTCCTAAAAATCTCCTGTGTTCCACCTCTTCATCCCTCTTTCCCTTTTACTGTGCCCTTGGGAACCATTGGTCTTTTTATTGTCTATATAGTTTTGCTTTTTCTAGAACATCATATGGATGGAATTACACAGTGTGTAGTCTTTTCAGACTAGCTTCTTTCAGTTATCAATATGCATTTAGGATTCTTCCATTTTTTGTGAGTTGATCCTTCATTTCTTTCTATTGCTGAACAATATTTTATTATAAGGTTATGCCACAGTTTGTTTATTCATTCACCTATTGAAGAACATCTTGGTTGCTACCAAGATTTGGCAATTAAAAATAAAGCTGTTTTAGAAATTTTGTCAATATCCACAAAATATTTCTGGAAGTTTGATTGAGATTGTGTTGAATCTATAAATCAAGTTGGGAAAAAGTGATACTTTAACAGTATTTAGGCTTCCTATTCATGTACATGAAATATGTCACCATTGATTTATATCTTCTTGATTCGTCTTAGAGTGTTATAGTTTTCCTCATATTGTTAGATTTATACATAAGTTTAACGGTTTCGGTGCTAATGTAAATGATATTTTATTTTTAATGTCAAATTCCAATTGTTGGCTGGGCATGGTAGCTCATACGTGTAATCCCAGTGCTTTATTAGGTCGAGGTGAGAGGATGGCTTAAGCTCAGGGGCTTGAGACCAGCCTAGGCAATGCAGCAAGATCTCATCTCTACTAAAAATAAACGTAAATAAAAATGATTCCAATTGTCCATTGCTGGCATAGAGGAAAGCAACGGACTTTTATATGTTAACTTTGTAAACTTGTGATAATTATTTATTAATTCCAGGAGCTTTATGTTGATTATGTAGGATTTGTAACATAAACAATCATGTTTTCTGCAAGAAAAGACAGTTTTATTTTTTTTCCCCAACCTAAATATTTTTTCTTCATTTATGGCATTAAGTAGGACTTCCAGTATGACGTTAAATAGGAATGGTAAGAGATGGGATATTTTTACCTTTGTCCTGATCTCAGCAAGGAAACTTGAAGTTCCTCACTATAAAGCATACGAGCTTTGGATTTTTTAAAATAAATGTTTTTTATAAGTTTAGGAAATTTCCTTCTATTTCTAGTTTGCCGAGAGTTTCTCTCACGGATGAGTGTTGAAATTTGTCTAGTTTTTATGCATCTGCTGATATTATATATGATAGTTCTTCTTTTAGCCTGTTGAATTGATGAATTGTATGATTTGATTTGCCAATATTGAAACAGGCTTGCACACTTGGAATAAATCTCACTATTTGTAGTATATACAGCAGTCTCCCCTTATTAGCAGGAGACATGCTTCACGTTCCTCAGTGGATGCCTGAAATGAGGGATAGTACCAAACCCTTTATGTATTGTTTTTTTATATATAATATACATTATAAAGTTTAATTAGGAACAGTAAGAAATTAACAATAATAATAGAACAAGATAGCATTATACTGTAATAAAAGTTATATGAATGTGGTCTCTCTCTCAAAATATCCTATCATACTATATCACAGGTAAATGGAACTATGGAAAGTGAAACCATGCATAAAGGAGGACTATTGTAATTAATTCTATACATTTTTGGATTTGATTTGTTAATTTTTTTGAGGGTTTTTGCATTTATGTTCATAAAAGATATTAGTCAATAACTCATTTAATATTGCATGCTGGTTATATCTGTTGGTGATGAATTCCATCAGGTTTTCTCTGAGAAAGTCTTCAACTTTTGAAGGATTTTACTGGATATGGAATTCTAGTTTGAATGGGGATGTTTTTTCAATACTTTACTATTTCATTCCACTCTGTTTATTTGCATGGTTTCTATTAAGTCCACTGTAATTCTTATCTATGTTCATTTATAGGTAATGTCCTCACTACCACTACCACATTCTAAATTTTCCCTTTTTTGTTAATATTCTGTCATTTCAATAAGATATGCCTAGGGATGTGCGTGTGTGAATGTGTGTACATGTGTGCTGCTATTTATCTTGCTTGGTTTGCTCTGAACTTTCTGGATCTATAGTTTGATGTCTGTCTTTTTACATTTTTATCCATTATTATACTTATTTCAAATATTTTTTATGCTCATTCTTCCTCTCTTCTTCTGCTTTTCCAATTATGTATATGCTACATCTGTTGCTATTGTCCCACAGTTTTTGCTCCCCTCCCCTTCCTTCCCCTTCCCTCTTTTGAGACAGAGTCTCACTCTGTTGGGCCAGACTCCAAGTTGCGGTATTGGGTTGGCCAAACACTGGGAGCTTGATTCCCTAGGCTTCAAGCCATTCATCTGCCTCAGCCCTCCAGGCGTAAGCTGGGATCACATGATGGCACACACATGCCGGGCTTTTCTTTGAATTAAATATTTTTGTAAGATAGGTATTGGCCATGTTGCCATGCTGGTTACGTTTTCCCTTAACTCGTAGGGCTTTTTGAGCGATCCCCTGGCTAACCTCCATTATTTAGGTTACAGTAAGACAGAATTTACAAATAATAACTTTAAGTTATTATATTCAACTCCAGCAGTGCTGAGACTGTAATATGAGCCCCATCGCTGACTCTAGCATTTTCTTACCTGATACTACTTAGCTTTTTTTTAATTTCTTTATCTATTATTATCTTTAAGTTGTTAGGGTACTGTTGCATTAAGTGCAGGGTTTGTTACCATATGTATATTGTTGCATGTTGGTGTGCTGCACCATCAGACTCGTTTCATTTACATCTGTATACTCCAATTGCAATCCCTCCCCACTTCCCCCTCCCAATTGATTGGGCCCGGTGTGTGATGTTCCCTTCCCCGAGTCAGGTGGATCTTCTTTGTTCAGTTCCACTTTGATGAGACATGGGTGTTTGGTTTTGTTTTGTGATAGTTTGCTGAGAATGATGGTTTCCAGCTGTTCCAATTGTCCCTACAAAGGACACAAACTCATCCTTTTTTAGTGGCTGGGGGGGCAATTAAGTATCCATGGTGTATCTGTTGCCACCGATTTTTTTAATCCGTCTGTCACTGATGGCATTTGGGTTGATCAATTTTGTTTGTGAATAGGTGCTGCATAAACATACGTGTGGCATGTGTCTTATTAGGCAGCATAATTTTATAATCCTTTGGGGTATTACCCAGTAATGGGATCGGTGGTCACGGCGTAATGGTTAATCTGAGTTCTTAGATTCTTGAGGAATGCCATTAACTGTTTTCTTCCTAATGGTTGAACTAGTTTCATGCCGACCAACCGTGTAAAGTGTTCCCTGTTTCTCCATGCCTCTCCAGCACCTGTTGTTTCCTGATTTTTAATGTCGCCATTCGAACTGGTGGTTGGGGGTACTCTCTTGTGGGTTTGATTTGCATTCTCCTGAGGCAGTGATGTTTGAGGAGTTTTTTCATGTGTCTGTTGGGGCTGTATGATGTTTCTTTGAGAAATGTCTGTGTCAGTATTCTTTGCCATTTTGAATGGTTGTTGTTTTTTTCTTTGTAAATTTGTTTGGTGCTTGTAGGTTTCTGGATATTAGGCCCTTTGTCAGATGAGTTAGATTGAAAAAATTTTCTCCATTTCTGTAGGTTGCCGTTTCACTCTGATGTAGTTTCTTTTGCTGTGGCAGCAAGTCTTTTAGTTTTAATGAGATCCCATTTGTCTAAATTTTGGGCTTTTGCTGCTGTTGCTTTTTGGTGTTTTAGACATGAAGTCTTTGTCCATGCCTATGTTTCCTGGAATGGTATTACCTAGTTTTCCTCTAGGATTTTATGGGTATTAGTTTAACATTTAAGTTTAATCATCTTGAATATTTTCGTATAAGGAGTAGGAAAGGGATCCAGTTTCAGCTTTTTCTCTTTATGGTAGCCCAATTTTTCCGCACCAATTATTACATAAGGAATCCTTTCCCATTTCTTGTTTCCTCCTTCAGGTTTGTCAGTCAGATGGCTGTAGATGTGTGGTTATTTATTTCTGAGGACTTTGTTCTGTTCATTGGTCTATATCTTGTTTGGTACCGTCCCATGTGTTTTGGGTTACTGTTGCCTTGTGGTGTATAGTTTGAAGTCTGTAGCGTGATGCCTCCAGCTTTGTTCTTTTGGCTTAGGATTGGTCTCTTGAGATGCGGGCTCTTTTTTTGGTTCCATATGCAACTTTAAGAGTTTTTTTTCCAATTGGTGACGGGGAATTCCTGGTAGGCTTGATGGATGGCAGTGATCTTATAAATTACCTTGGGACAGGTATAGGCCATTTTCAGGATTTGTTCTTTCCATCCTTGAGCATGATATGTTCTTCCATTTGTTTGTGTTCTCTTTTATTTCACTGAGCAGTTGGTTTTGTAGGTCTCTTGAAGAGGTCTTTCTAATCTGTAGTTGGGTTCCTAGGTATTTTACTCTTTTGAAGCAATTGGAATGGAGTTCTTCCTGATTTTGGCTTCTTCTGTTGTTCTGTTGTACTC